GAATATAAGCGTGCTATCGATTCCTTCGTACCACGACGATTCTCACGACGAGGAGGACTTCCCGAGGGCGCGATATTGCACGAGCGGCAATATATTACGTTATTATGAACTGCGCGCGAAAGTCACGCGAGATAACGCGCTCGTATTAAATTATTATTAACCTTAAACCCGTCGCCTCGCTACCGTATTACCGTGGCCATTAAATCACCGGGAGGAGCCGGCGATAGCGCTATCATGCCGCACATCGCCGAACTCCAAAGTTCGCGATCCTTTTAACGAGAAAGCAATCCTTTTAACTGCGTCATCGACCTGAACTTTTATCATCGCCCGAGACTCGTCCGTTCCTTTCGATATCGTTATTGTACCGCGATAATTTCTGCACTCCGACACGGGGCTGTTCGTCGGTGTTATTTTTTTTTTTTTTTTTTTTCTTTTCTTTTGGTAGCTGGTAATCGATGGAAGACGTGTCTGTAAAAACCGCGTACTTGTGCGATATTTTAAAATTGGGTGGTGTTTAGGGAATAGCCATTTTATTAATATACGCACGAACTACTTATACATGTAAACTCTGTGTGTTTGTTTCCTTCCATAGTTTAAATAAGTAAAGCTTGGATCATTTTTGTTGTTAATAATCCCTTCTCGATACGGGCGTCGAAGAAACGCCCGTTTTGTATTCGGTTCACAATAACGTCGTAGAAATTACGTACATAGCTAGAGCCACGAGCAAGAAAGTTATTCACGAGTTTCGCATGTCAAAAGTTACAAACGACCGTCTGCCAGTCAGTGAGGGAACAAAGACGATCGACAAATTGGCCCCGAATTCCCCACTGTCGCTGCGATGGCGACGTGAACAATAATTTTCTTCCCGGCCGTCGATCGAGTTAGCGCGACCGACTTTCATAATATCGTTCGGATATGAGTTTCAAATCGCATCATCTTGTAGAAAAATTGTTGTCGTAATAACGCATTTCGAATACAAGAAATCTTTGGGCTTTGTGCGACAACAATGGGTCAACACATTATTTTTTTTTATCTTACAGTCACGTTCGTTTTATAATTTATCGCATCGAAAAACAGTATTATGAAAAATCTGTATTCTCCAAAGCGACAGTTTTGCGACAGTTAAGCTGGAAAATGGAGCAAAAGTTTGAAACGTATCAATTTCTCCGCAACGTATCAATATTTGCAATTATTAATAATGATGGTTTTCGATTCGGCGAGGATAATCTGGGGAGATACCGTATTCTTTATAATCCGTTTTCTCATCGTTACAAACAAATCTTTAAAAGGTATTCTTTGTCAACTTTTCCATGTAATAAAAACTCAGTTGACTTGATACCCGAACCACTACCGTGTCTTCTGATATAGAAAACGTCAAAATCAAATTAAAGTTTTTCTTGCAAATTAAAGTTTTTCTTAATAAAAAAAACACAACATTTCTAAAAGATAATATGTAATTTACATTAGAAATTTTACGCACAATTAAATATATTCATAATTTAATATATGTATTAACAAATATATTAAATACAAAACATATGAAATTATAATGGTAGTGTAATAATATATTATAACAATGAATGCAGTAATATATTATAACAGATGATATTTATTTTTTAAATTCTTTAAATTGATTAAAAAAAGCATAATCATGAAATGAATATGAAAAAAATTGATAGTAGCCTATATCTGATATTAAAAACAAACAGTATGCAAATTTTCAAGTATTTAATCCACCAAGTTACTAGGTCTAATTTGCAACATTTAATAAAATTTATTTATGCCATGTGTTTTATATTAATTAGCAGTTTGTTATTTCTAAACTTCACAACATGAAGATGTGCAATTTTCTGCATGTTATATTAACAAAGAAATGTCATCATTAACAATATTAAATACGATTGTATTAGATTGTAGAGAATAGCAACATAATTAATTTAAAGATTTGAAAAGAGAAAAAGAAGAAAAAAATATATATATGTATTAAAAGAATATGTTCTGCTATCGTTGCACCTTATATTTGTAATGTAAAGGAGAAACTTCATAGAAGCTAAATCCAATATGAGAGGTTACGGACAGTTGTAACACGTAACAGTTTTACTCAATTACAGCTACTAGAAATCCGCAGTTTCGTATTGCTCGCAATAACAATTCGAGTTACATCCTACAGACAATCTAAATCGAAACTATATATTTTTCCGCACGGTTTATATCGCTCGATTTATCTTATGATAAATTCGAGAGATCAGGCAAATCCATTGACAATGATCTCTTTCCATTTTTCCACAAATATTTCTCTCACGGGTTATTTCGAGCGGAATCTTCGAATTTTTTTTTTTTCTTTTTGTTGTCCAATGTAGACGTGTGCTCTACCTTCGTATAGAATCGAGAGGGAGAGGGGGGGGGGGAGGGAGGAGAGAGGAAGATAAGGAGAAAACTGTAAGTGGGAGTAAAGAGAGAGAGAGAGAGAGAGACGGAGAGCGAATTTGACGCATTGCGAATAAAAGGACCAGGTATACACACGGACGTACAGAATGCAATCGCAAGATTGTAAAATGCGTCGGAATAATGCAGTTGCGAAGAGAATGCCAACGCGCATATCCGCAGCTGCATGCGGCGCATGCAGCTCGATGCTCTGCTAGGCGCACCTTAGCGTATCTCCGTATAATTTAGCTAATTGAAGTGGGCAACGACGGCAGGCACGACGCCAGAGAGGATTTGCACGGAATTTGCAGAAAGAACTAATAATCATGTTATTTTTTCCGAGTGTCTCGCACATATATCCCGCGTCGCGCGCGTCCGCCTTAAACCGGATACAAAAGTCCGAGTCGAGCGAATTCATTTTTTCATTCACGCTGAAGCCATTAGTATTACTCTAATTATAATGTGATGTAATATCAACATTTTTTTTTTTCATTGCCCCAGGAAATCGCGGACTCTAATTCCCGCTTAATGAAGTTCCAGAGTGAATTACGTTATTTAAATTTCAGCTTGTTTCATCTTGTTTACTTGAGACGCATCTGTTACGAAAGTTAAAATGTCACACGTAATGTAAATACGAAATGTAACATAGATTATTATTATTTTTTTTTTTCTAGGAAGTAGCAAAAGTAGCAACTTTAAATTCTGTCTAAATTGTGATTTAAAAAAATGCGCAATTTCAGACACAATTTGTGTTTACATCGATGGTTCGAAGTTTTAGTGTCGCTCGTGCGAATTATCACTCGTGTACACTCGGCGCTTGAAACGCTCGTGTTCGAATGGCGGTCCTCCATCAAAGAGAGATCCCCCCTCTCTCTCTCTTCTTTTTTTTTTTTTCTAACTCACTTGATTCAACGTAGGTCGACCCTTTTCTGGGATGTTACGTTTCTGCGCTGCGAGTTTCGACGTCGACCGGCCGGATATCGAGATCGTTAGGAAATTAATTGCTTGTCGTATCGGGACGACCTTTCGCCGCATTCGATTCGATTCGCCTGCTGGCGAATGTTATGTCGTGTGTTATGTTCCCTTTGCGTTTCGCCGCTGATCAGGGAACCTTTAATTCAGGCAACGACAATCGCACCGGTGACCGGCGTGACCCACTTATCTTTCATGATCCCGCATATTTTACACGACGCGTACGTTTAATCCTCCGACACATTTTCCCGCATTTTCGCGTTTCACGGCACGATCATTAACGTAGAGGCAATTTAACCGTGTGACTCGAGTTCTTACTTAATGAGAATATAATGTTCAATTATACAAAGTAAATATTTTCAGATGAAGGAAATTGCTCACGTTTGTTATCAGTATAAGCAGAAGGGGTATTCCCTTTCATATCCTTAATTGATACTCGCGTATAATCGATAGTTCGTTTAGATACGCGAACTGTCAGAAGGCTAAAGAGTTCTCGGTTGTAGATCATCGACTTACGTTATTCGTTGCATTTGATCTTATCCGCTTGGATCTTATCGTCTTGATTTATAGCAATTCCCTTATTATTAGAAGCAAATCGTTCCGGATCTGCGGATCTATTTAAAATCGCATTCATTCTATTTTACGCATGCTAATTCCTTCGACCCGAATATGACGATTGGAGATACGTTCAATTTTTTTTAATGGCTGCCGATTGATAAAGAAAAATTGAAGATACGTCAGATTTTTAGATCGAACAAAATTGCTTGCGAATAAATACAAAGTAAAATTATTCTAATGTAAATGACAACAAAATAATCATTAAAATTATTGTATTTAGTAAGCTCAGAGCAGAAGTTTTGATATGTGAAGATTTTACTCATTACTTTAATATATTGCTTCAATGTAGTGATTAAAGCTATATAAATATAAGCTATATAAATATAAATTTAATAATTCTTATATCATAAAGTCAGATATTTTAACATAAATAACTTACAAACAATATTATGTTGTATTGGATGTGGCAAAAATGAAATATTTATTATATTTCAACTAATATACCACAAAATAGACATAATTAAATATGTATGAATAAAATATCTAATATCGCTAAGAAATATTTTGTATTCTAGCGAAAAATAAAAATTATATAAACATATAATTCTTCACACAATCAATAATTCAAGAAGTCTCCATCTTCTTAAAGAGAAATTAACATCACATTTAAAATCTTAAATTTCTACCCTGTTTCTATATTTTGCTCTTACTTAGTAACATTTTATTTATTTAATATATATAAAACATTGAATTGCTCGCTGACCGAAATGTTAAATGTTAAATGTCATGATCCCTCGCGTAAAACTTATCACCGGATTATCAGTGAAAAATTTTTTGAGAATCACCATTTTAATGGATACCAGAGGAACCGCAAAAGCTCTGGAAAAAAGCTCTCTTTGCCCGTGTTGCTATCTATCTCGATAGATTCGTATGTACGAGATTTTAGTCAAAATTGCTGAGCGGGAATGGGTCAACAAGTCATCCACTCGCTGGCACAGTTGAAGATCGCCGATTCCTGCCTCGGTGGTGCTCCATGGAAAGCTTCATTTTTTTTGTACAAAATTGGAATGCAAAACACCGGTGTAAATATAATCGCGCGCATGTGTGTGTTTGGTCACTATGAAAATTGCAGAACAATGCGATGTATAGGCGCGTGTTTCTGCTCCAAACTGTGCTACTATTCGCCCTTAGAGCAGATCTCTTCCTCTCGCGGCGCTGGCGTTGCTTTCTGCGTTCGCATTTAGGCTTTACAGGCAAACGAAATCATAGATCGAGCGGACGTGATAAAGATCGATGCGATTCCCTCGTTTTCAGTTTTCAGTTTTCAGTTTTATGTACGATAACGAGTTCGCCTGTGGCAATCTACGTTGACTGCTGCCCTCGGTGTCGCGTTTCACTTTACCTCACAGGCATTTCACTTTACGACTTCTTCAAACGCGCGCGAACATTTCTGCACGTTAACGACGCCTGCGTCTCTTCGTGAGATACGCGCCGAGCCAATCCTCCGTGGCTTATATTTACGCTTTACGGTAATCGCCAAGATTGTACACTTTGGGATTAAAAACATTTTATCACTTACGACCAGAACTTATAGGGGCTATGAAAAATCCAACGATCAATTTCTTTAGAACACTTGATTAGATCGCCAAAAAAAAAAAAGAAAAAATAACCGTCAACCTGACGGATCTGGCTTTCATAGCGTATAAATCAGAAAGTAATAGAAAAATCGCTGTACAATGGAAAATAAGTCGGGACAATATCTCTAATCGAGATATACCGTTGAAAATGTTTCAAATTATTGTCGTGAGGAAAGAATGAAATAAAAATAATTCCCAGTAGTCTGGTATTGATTAATCGGACGCTGGTGTGGCTTCGTTCAGAAATACAAAAGATTACCTTGTTCACAGAAGGCTAACAACGTACGACGTCGCGAGAAACGCGGCCAGAAAGATCGCTACTTCATTACAAAGCGATACGCACGTGTCTCTCCTCTTCTCCTGCGAAGTTGAGAGTACGAAGGCGGTCGATACCTGGCCCTCTTCTACACGAGACGAGAGTCATCCACCATTGACCTCTGTATATATTTGAAGACCGCTCCGAAGCGTAAGACATTTCAATGGAAGTCTGCTGCCGCGACTCGCCGCTCCATCCAGATCCATTCTGGATCGAGACGATCGGTACCGATGATCCCTCGGGGATCTCTCTCTACAGAACGTGCAGATTCTCGCAGCTCTTCGACTTGCTGTCGCGCGCCCAGACCTTGTCGAGAAGATTCCGCACCTTCAGGCTGGTGCTGGTCCGACTGCCGCGATACTTCTTAGGCGAGTTGTTCTCCGAGCACGAGCCCAATGGCGACTTGCTGCGGTTCTTCCGTGACCTCTTCCGGAACATCTCCCTGGTCCTCTCGGGATTCTCCAGCTTCAGGCGGATCTGCGTGAGCAAGCCGACCAGCAGCTCGTCGACGTTGTGATTGATGCCGACCGACGTCTCGATGAACTTGCAATCGTAAGACGTCGCCATGGATTTGCCCTCTGTAAACGATAAAATCGATTAAACGCGAGATGGTACCGCGTGCCTCGAAAATCTCTCGCGGATAAACACGCGACGTACCACGTACGTATGTTACTTAACAATGAGGAATGAAATATATGGTATGTAGAATGAACGATCTATTTCAACTTAAATCACTGCGTAAAATAATTCGAGATTATCGCTCTTTCGCAATTTTCCCGTAAATATAAATAAATAATTCGCATATCAATAATAAATTAATTAAATTTTCAATGTAAAATACTTTATTTTATTTATAATATTCGTGAATTATTTTTAACTCAATAAAAAAGTTTTAAAACAAATGATTAAATCAAAGGAGTAAAAGTTAAGCCGGATCTTAATATCAAATAAAATTTTTATTTTCGTGAAATAATCAAGACGACGGACATAAAATGAAATTAACATTATTCCGTCAAAATAATTTATTGAAAGAACCGAAAACGTTATTCATGGAGATCGCTATACATACTGAAAAAAAAGTCGAGATACTCAGAAGAAAATATTATCTTGTTTTTTTTTCAATATTTATTTAGTTATAGAAAAGTTTGACTTTGAGGACGAAATATATATTTCTGTGAAATATATTTAATTTTTCTTGCAAAGTGTAAAACAGTTTGTTTGCTGCATATGAATACAATTTTATTTCGTAAATAAATTTTATTCCACAAATAAATTTTTTTCTTTCTCAACGTAAGCCGATAATTATTAATTATCTACGGAGAACAAGTATACATACGTATTTCTCTCTCAGCAAATTGTATTTCGAGAGATGTTACGACGAGCAGCTCAGGTTCGCCGTTATTTATAACTTTTTTTTTAACTGCGCGAATGATAATATCGATGACTCTGTGTATATGTATACCAAACAGAACTGTAGGTCGGTGAATGTTAAGTATTTCGAGGAAATGTAGAACCTTTCGATTTTCATGTACACCGCACGTTGTGTACATCATTCTCGCGCCGATGCTCGAGCGCGGCAGTCAACGATGCGGATCGCTTCGCCTTTTGTCGCGATATCATCTCAAGACCATAGATCTTATATTACTTATACTGTCTTTTCCTTCCTCCAGATGAAAAGAGACCATGGGCGTATCCAAAATTTTTTTTCAGACGATTTTTATCAATTCCGTTCAACAAACACATAACAGCAATTTTTATGTTAATTGTCTTTTTAAATATTTTTAGGGCTTGGAATATCTCCTACTTCCTGATTTTGTAGAGAGAAAAATATTAGATTTTATAAATTATAACTTTAACTTTTCTTAAATTTCGGAGGGGGGAGGGGGAGGAGAGAGAGAGGATTTTGAATCCTCAATCTCTTTTCTTAGATACGCCCATGAAAGAGACAGTAGATGTGATGTATCTTCTATGTGATGTATCTTTCCTTTATTTTCCGAAAAATAAGAGAAGGATATAAGAAGGATATAAGAATAATAAGGACATAAGATATCGCTCTCTTGTTCTATCAACTCGATCTTGATTTAGTCAGAAGACTAAATCCAGAAGTAGTATAAGATCTATACTCAAGACGTGATTTTGACTAGTGCGAAAAACGCATTTATTTTATTTTCTACGGGATTCTCAGTCTGATTCGAGTGATTCAAGTAATTCCCGCGAATTTCGTAAACGCGCCGACACGAATTACTCATCGACGCATGAGAATTTCGCGCGGTTTATCCCAGTGAAATTTACTTCGAGTGAAATCCGAGGCGACAGGAAACGCGAAAAGTGATTGTTTCGTGATATAACGCGGAGGATAATTGTTTATTTAACGCTTCCATTCGAGCTTTGGGTTTTTCATCAATTTAAATGTTTGTTATTCTTTCACCGGGTTTCCGAATTGAGAGCGCGGAATAATATATAGTCGAGTCGTCGGATCGAGAAAGCGATCCGAGAAAGCAGGGGATATAAGAGATGGGTATATCGATCATTTATTAACAATTAAATTGAAATGGAAGGAACTCGTATAATACTCGCCGCCTATACATTTGTTTTGCAGCGTTATTAAATATCTCGGCCGTTACGGTTTTTGCGAGATGGTGGGGGGGGGGGGGCGTTAAACTGTTGTTTAGGATCGCTTTGTTATCGTTTGCACGGTGAAAACAGGTAACGATATGAGACGCACTTCGTCGCGTTCATTGTCACTCGAGACGCGGTAAGTATTGAACGAAGACGCTCTCATTTCCCTACGCGATCAATCCGCGCAGTTAATTAACTTCCGTATATGTTTAACGTTTCGATCGCAAACGATATGTTCAATAATGTCAGAACATAGCCGTTCGACGAGGCAAATTCTTACGTAATTTATTTCATTCCGAATATAGATTACCGTTCGATTGTGATATTTATACATGTGATAATTATTATTGTTTTTTTTTTTTAATTGCCTCGACCCGCGCGTAAGCTCGCTTCGAGCTTTTTTCGCTGATTCAGAATACGCACACGCGTGATTATCGGGTTAAAAGTCTGGGATAATAATTGCTCGTACAGAGAATATCGCGTTTCCTCAAACTGTGAATCGTTGAATTCAAGTAACAGAAAGCCATGGTGTATTCATCGAGAATTTATTAATGATACATCTATGATTTATACACTCGAGCTGGAGTACACGTGCAAAACTGAATTTCCGTTACGTATTTCCATTGTGTCTTAATTAGCTATTAATTCGATTTTATCGATTAGATTCCGTCAAATTGAGTTGACGTCGCGGATATTTTCGAATTTCGGTCTTTAACGAAACATAAAACGGTCACAAAAACGGAGCGGCGTCGAGACTGTTGCAATTAATCCCGCGTTTTATCAACCATGCAGTATGAAAGCGATCGTGCATTAGCGATTTATTAAAATCCCCCCTGTCGTTTGAAGTTCGTTTCATCAATTTACGGAATGTCGCAAATCGTGGCGATCGTTACGATCGTACCTCTTTCGCGTTGTTCTTTCTTCTGTCGTCAAGCGGTGAAGTGTGCGTCGCGTGTGTTTAACGGACGTATCATGCAAAGTGGCGTTTATCGTATTTTCGCGATTAGTGCGCGCATTAATTAATCACATATCACTTTACATTTTTGCAAATGTAAAATGTAAGAGTGCCAGCGACGAAGAAGCAGCGACGGAGGGATAAAAGGGAAGAAGAGGATCTGGGAGAGGCGTCAGGTGTCACCTCGCAGCTGGGCAACCATGAGGTGAGTATTTTATTCTTTGTTATTTTATTCGTTATCCGTCGAATTAATTATTCACAATTATTTCACACGCGCAACACTTACACTTTGAAATATTGATTATTTCGCGCGGTACCATAATTTTGAATACATTTATATTTTACAGTTCAACGCGGTTTGCGTCAATTCCGCTGCTGTTGCGCGTCGCGTCGGTGAGTGACAAATTAAATTTCATTTTAATTCGAGACAGTGCGAATCTCTGTAAAAATTGTATTAAACATATATACATGTAAATCCATATACGTATCAAATTAAAAGTCGACAGAGAAATATGGCAAATAAACAAATTCATCACTTCATTATCGACGTTATTAGGATCTTCAATTCTAATTTATCTGCGAAATACATTGAAGCGTCACGTGATATGTGTGAAATATTGTAAACAATTGTAATATAAAGCGTAATAGATGAAGTAATAGATAAAGCGAATAATTAAGCGAAAAAGACGCTATTAATTTAATTACGTTTAATCACGATACCACCGAGAAGGCGCGTTCTGCGCACTCGGCGCAGGGGGTTCGCCAGAGGGTTAAATGGCTTTTTCCCGCTCCAGTGCCCTTGGGGAATTTGCATCGGGGGGCAAACGGCGGTATGCCTCGTCAGTGAATTTACGTGTACGTTGCGTTATCTACGATCGTCCTGTATCAGCGTTTCGTGTGTATTGTAAATGCCATCTCAATAGATAGACAGACTTCTCCTCGTTCCTCGAGCACGTTTCCTAATGATTTTTGCGGATTTCCATTTTCGCGTGTCCGCCGTAAACCACCCGATTTGGGACAAGCGGCGTGAGCAGAGGAGGGAAGCAGGAGGGGGAGGAAGGGACGGAGGGGCGGAGGGTAGGAACACTCTCCGATTATCCAGGTCGGGCTGACAAAAAAATTACCTTCGGTCGATACCAGTCGGCTGCGAACGAGGTCGACCTTGTTCCCCACGAGGATGACCGCCCTCGCGGATACGTGATCGCTCCTCCACAGGGATTGGAGAACCTCCTCGGCGACGCGCACTGACGTCCGATCGGTCGTAGAATAGACGACGCAGTACGCGTGCGGCTCGTACGTCGCGATGCAATTTTCCGGCTGGAAGCATTAATCATGACGGGGGCACAGTTAATACTAATGACCACGATGGAGCTTATCTGTCTCCATTTCCAATTTATGAAGCATATTAATTGATCGTCACATCGTCGTGAAATATAACCGTTCCGCATTGACATCTTTGAATAATTTTCAAATAAATCAATTACGCGCGTAATTAAAACTCACATTTTTAATTGCATCGTACTTCTTGCGGGGAGAAACGAATATTTCATGAATTTTATTCTTATGCGAAAAAATATTTTCATATTGCATTAAGATATACGAGCGAACGTATATGCGATATTTTCGTGGCTGTTTTATGAGACAGAATCTATTCTTTTTTTTTTTTCTCAAAATTTCAAACATGCCATGCGATTTTCTGCACTGTAGGCATTAATCATGATATTAACATTAATAGTCATAATGGAGCATGACAATCTCTGTTTCCAATTTATAACGCATGAAATGGTCGTTTCACATCAACAAAGTTCACGTAATTTCCAGAGAAATTAATTAATATATAATTAGTATCTCATTTTAGTTATATTAACTTTAATATTGCATATGTACAAAAAGTCTATTTCTTCGACATTTTAAATGTGTCCCATCAATCCACCCAATGAATCCAATAAAAGTTGCATCTGTCTCATTTCACATTTAATCTTTCCGCCGTAACAAATAGCGAAACAAATAATTTTGATTTCTCTTTAATTCAACAAAGCCAAGGCTTCTTCGATATGGATGTATAATAAAGAAGCGCATCTTTTGTATAGATATTATAAAAGAAAACTTTTGTAGAACAAGGCATTATAAAAGCAAGCTTGAAAAGTTCGCTATTATGATACAGATATAACTTGTATACAAAAGGAATACATCTATATATGTTTCTTGTAGTATATGTTGCTTGTAATCATGGTGAAAGCATAGAATAAAATCGGATAGAAAAGTTGAAATAAAATTTACTTTGTAGTATAAAATTATAATTAATGGTCTCTGAACATTTTCAAAGTCTCATTGTTCTTGTCGTTAATGCCGATGGGTAGAAAGAGAAAAATATTCTAATCTTAATGGATGATATAAATTTGCAAAAGGTAATGTAATAATATTTTCAATGGAAATCGCTAGACCGAAGAGACCTAAGGGAAAGAAAAGGATAAAAAAAGGGAATGATTTTATTCATGAAGGGATTTTCGACACTTTGAAACTCGATATGTTAAATTTTTGCAATCAATATACGTAAATGACGTTAATTCTTCAGTTCTTGCACTTTTTTTGTTCATTGCGTTTTCTCTCTTTCTTTCGTTCTGGAAATATTAGTTTTCGTATATGTCGTTTTTTTTACTGAAGAGCCGATTAATTGATTTTTAATTTACCAGAGGAAATATTTTTAAAGGTAAAGATTATTCCCGAAAAGCTTTGTCGAGTAGATTTTATCTGATTTGCAAATCGTATCATTTTAATTAAACTCGAGATTATTGTGGTGTCGTTTGTCGTAATTAGAATCAGAAAATTTAAAAAACGACCACCTTCCCACTTAAGAATTGTTCCTATTTACAAAGCGCAATCAAATTTCATTATTATTGTCCACTCGAATGACGTGGAGATTCTTGGAAAATACAATGGCAATCGCGCAGTGATTACGATATCGCTATTAAGAGGCAATAAATAATAGTAATAATAGTAATCTTTGGAAGAAGGATGATCTCTTTCTCTACATTCCGTAATTGGTATCCATAGCGAAATTCAATCGGAACGGAATCTAGTTTAACGTAATATCACATAAGCGCCCTAAATTATATTTCGGAGAAGCTTCCGGCGGAAAAGGCGGAGAATAATATTCAGACTAAGTTCGAGTATAATCCCGGCTATACCTAAATCTGGCTTAGTGATTTACCGTAATCTTTCTGACCCAAATATCAGTTTAATATAAACAGAGACGTACACATAGACAAAGTTGACGTAACACTTATCCAGATCTCTTAACGTACGAGCAAGGGCGATGTTCATTTTGCAAGCAATTACATTATATATATATATATATATATATGAAATATTCAGAAGACTCTTTAATAATCGGAGAAACTTCCGAACGAGAGATACTGAGAATATTTCACGATAAATAAGCGAGTAAGTTTCAATTCGTCTCGTTATTGGTAAAAATAAAAGCTCAGTTTGTTCGGTGTAAGGGGGGGCTGGCGTTAAGTTCGCGTTAAAGCGCAGCCAGCCGTTAAAGGTTAAGATCGCAACGGAGAACGGGTTCTGTGATTTTGCGAACGATTATACGAAAGAATTACCTTGAACCGTATCAAAGGCGCGCTGCGCCTCGTGGTATCGAAATATATCTAGGGATCGACCGCTTAACGGTCGAACGCGCGGCATGGCTCGGTGCTCGTCAATGACTCGCGGCACGCCTGGCTGAACGGAGGCAGGAGAGAAAACGAGGAACGCTTCGTTACTCCCTCAGGTCCTTTTTCTTATATCCCTCTAAGCTCGCGCGCGCGCGGGAGCTTACGGTCAGCTCGTCACGGGACAGCTCTTACTTGCTCGGTTACACAAAAACCGCAAAGTCGGACTGCGTCGCGCCGCATTTGGATGCCGGACAGGCCACGAGCTTTTGGTCTAACGTTGCCTCTAAATGGGAATTCTCTCTGCTCTATATATATAGAAATTTTCTCCCATCGTGTACGTATCTCCTCGTTAATGTGCGCGAAAAGTAAATGACACCACCAAGTAATTGTGTTGACGTTATCGAATTTTCAAATATATATTTATATCTTAATGTAAATATATTTTAATATCTTAATGTTATTATACGTATTTCATGATTGTTATAAAAGTTTAAATATTTTAAAATGGTGACGGTTATTAGGATTATTAGAATTTCTAATTATTTCTTGCTGAAAGAGATGGATAAAAATAAACTGTGATTTATTTTAATCTTATTGCATGTGAAGTTTCCTCTTTCAAGGTGTATGAAATGAATTAATCCACTAATTACGTTTGTAAATTTAATGCTGCATAAGAGCACTGTATTAATAGCATACGGAAAATCAATAGTTGCGTGTCGTTTCATCTCGTCCCTCTTGCAAGTTCCTACGCGTGTGCGATGAATAGTACAATTACAATGTGATTTGAGAAACTTAATTTACATATGAAATGTAATACCCCAATCTCGGATGTATGTATCACGCATTATATATTTATATCGATTAAATAAAGCACATGGAGGCGTTCTCTAAACCACAACGTAGGGTCCAGCGTTGCCCTATGTACGCTTAACTTTGTTGGTAAACTCCGTTAATGAATTCGCGTAAATGCAAAATAAATATGAGGCTGCTCACTAAACCCACTCTTCCCTCCTCTCTCCTCTTCTCGTCCCATCTTGCTTTTAAATTTATAGAGAAGTTCCTGCTAGCTAAAAGCTAAAATTTGATTTTGTTAGAGATCTTTTCGTAACGTTCTATTTTTTTTTCCTCTCCGTCTCTCAATTTGAAGCATTAATATGTAAGTGTATGAAAAATGAGTAATTAATAGTAATTGTATCTTTAAATACGCATTTATGCAGGATACCTTCAAACTCATTTGCGTATTACTTAATCAATCTCCTTTAATGAGAATTTTATTAGATATTATTCTTGCGATGCTATTTTCCACATTAATCACTTCAGCGAGTAAATTGCGAGTTGAAATGTCATTAGAATAACGTCCACTTAAAATTAGTTGTATAACTCAATTTAAAAAATTCTAAACTAAGAATAGTAACTATAACGTATTGGATATAATATAATATTATTTTAAGATATTAACAAACTAATTATATTTAATAACTGCTATATAGTTAATAGTGAATGTAACGTTATGAATAATGGATGTATATTATAATCGTGAACCGCCGCAAACGCCTAATAAATTACAGTGTTCATACCATGTTATTTTATCAATATATATACATTTTTAAGTAATCCATCTTCATAAATATATTATAGTGCAATTTTATTTACATGGTATATCTCACAAAATAACAAAATAATGCAGTTTCTAGTTGAATATTTATAGACCTAAGTTTTTAATGGAAGTGATATTGCAGCTTTAATACTATTACTCTATTCGTTTGAAAAGTTCCTTGAATATTAACGAGTTCAATTTTCGCAAAAATTTTAAGACATCGTTTTCTCTCGCAACTTTTTTTTTTTTTTTCATTACGCCACCATAGGTAAGCACGTTTTATAAATTAAAATTTTATTAAAGTTCACCTGACTTTAATTGCAAAATTAATTTCTTATTATTTCGTGACTTACACTTAAAATCGCTCCGTTTCTAATTGCCTATCTCACAAGGACTATCGATTCCTCGACGTTTTTGTCAAGGTAAAAGTTATCTCGAATCTTGATTGAGAGATACATCGATGAAAATTGACTTGCTAGATTTGGGACACGTCAGATACATTGTAAACAATCTGAACTGCTCCCGAAATTATATTAGTTCCTTTCGTACAGAAATAATATTTTTAAGATATTAAAGGAACACGCTAACTAGAGCCCGATTTATGTCTTCAGTCTCCTCAGAGGAGATATTTTCCTTTATTATCGCGACGATTTGAGGGACGTCATTTTATCGAAAATTTTTTTATCCCCTGCCCGTTAGAGTGGATTGCTATCGCAACAAGTTTATCTGCGTAATGAATACGGATTAAACTTAACGGAGCCTAACGGCCTAATGCAATTCCAGGACTATCAACCGGAAATCAAGATCCGGGCCTCGCGGCCTGACGTGATTAGACAGCCTTGATTTTCGCTGCCGAAAATAACGGGCGCGCGGAACCGTCCCGCGCGGATACGGCCTTCGGTCGCCGGAATTTCGCGGAAATCACAAAGTTCGGAACCCCTCTCCCCCCCCCCCTCCCTCCCCCCCGGGACTTCCTCCCCCGATCCGCCATTAGGCGTCCGGAGAAATCGCTCGCCTTGCCATCGACGCACGCGAGATCGGTGGAGCGGTCGACCGCGCGATACACAGCCGTGTTGTACGTGGCTGCGAACGTACGTTTTAATTAAAGGGTAAATTCGATTGAAATTGTCTGCCGAAGCGTAGCGTGGTTCTACCCCCGTGCCCCTTCCGTCCCCGCTGCCCCGCA